GTGTGCTGGGCCGGGCGCAGCGCCCGCAGGCTCCGGATACCCTAGTTGCCGGACCTCCCCCAGGACGGCCTCCGCGCCACTGCCCTTCGGCCCCGGGAGGGGAGGAGAGCCAGCAGCCACGCTGCTGGACACCTGGGTACACCTGCAACAGGTGAGGCACGCCAGCGCCCGGGAGCGGTCTCTGAAGAGCGTCAAGGAGCAGGATGTAGCCAGAATGTATCAGGATAAAGCCTCTAGCCCCGGGGAGCGGGGGTGGGGAAGGGCGCTCTGGCCGCTGTCACCTTCACTTTTAAGCACGTGATTAACTCAAAAAGAGGGCAACTCTTGCATCTTATTCAGCCACCAGCTGGAAATAATGCCCGGGAGAATTCTAAACGCCAATCAACTGGCGGAGGCGGGGAGCTTCCCCTTCACATACTCCGGGCACAATGCCCAGCCCTTCTTACCTTCCCACCTGATTTGGGCGCCTTTAAAGGAGTTCTTAGTTTAGTTTCTGACAATCACCTTTCTAAAGACCTGGCATGTACTTGAGGTTTAGTAACTCTGTGAACTTTTTTCTTTCGGTGAAAGATAAAGTACTGGATTAAGATCAATTAATTCCCTAGCCCAAGACCTAACAGAGAATGAGGATTTAATAAATGTCATGAAAAGGCAAAACTAATAAACTGATGCAGCTGATTCTATCAGTAAAACTCAAATTTTACATGATAATCTAAGAGAGGTATCTTTATCCTAGACCTCAATGGAAGAACTGGGTGCCCCTTCACTGTAGATAGTTTTGTGAATTTAGTAAGAATTGTCAACGTTTTTGAGCGCTTTTTGTGTGCCAGGGACTGTTCTTAGTTCTTTGCACGAATTATCCCATTTAATTCTCATTTTAACCCTATAAAGCAGGTAAGCACTATTTTTTAAATTTAGGTGTAATTGACATATTAGTTTCAGCAGTACAACATAATGATCCGATATTTGTATATGTTGCAAAATGATCACCATCATAAATCTAGCTCACATACGTCACCACATAGTTACAAAGGTAAGCACTGTTTTTTCCTCACTTTTCAGATGAAGGAACTGAGGCACAGAGAGGCTAAATAACTGCCCATGCACAAAGAACAAAGTGAACTTAAAGCTTAAATGTCTGGCTTTCATTATGGTTGAATATATATTTCATTGTGGATGAGTGTGTATTTGTCTATCTCCTAACGCTTTTAAATACTTGCCGTATTTTTAAAAGGACCAACAGCACACCTAGTGAACAATGGTGGTGCTTTATGTTTGTTCAGCATACTTCTTACTTTTCAAGGCACTTTTGTTATAGAGCCTGAAGAAACCTGGCCTCACCACAATACATGTAAACACAGAGTGGGTGCAACAGGACCCTTTCTGAAATTGGAGTTAGTATAAGGAAAGCAGAAGTTTTATAACTCTTCCCTTAGGTATCCAAATTGTTAAATTATACTAGAAATAGCATTTTATGGTTTTATAACTGTATTAACTACTACAGTTTCCATTTAACTTTAAAATGTATGCAATAGAAGGAATGGAATTATGCGTTATTTTGTTTTTTCTTTTTTCAAGTTTTTTTTTCTATTATCTCTGGCATTCGATAGAGACCTGAAATCCCTCCTTCAGATGCCAAACTTTGCAACAAGCAGAACTTAAATAAAAGGAAACACTGAAATTAGATCTCTTTTCTTAGTTGACTTCCCAGTCCTTTCTATCTCCACCTGGTAAGAGAGGTGATAACTACTGGTCCTCAGCACAATTCACATCCGGGGTATTTCTATCAAGACCTATGGATAAAGAAGCTCAAAGTGAACTGAAGGGGATGGTGAAAGAGGACAGGAAAAATGGCAGGTCACTGACATGTGAACATTTCTAAATTAATCAGAACTTCAAAATTATCTCCTGTACCCTCTCATTACCAAATCACCTGAGGAGTGAAAACTGGCAAAATAAAAGCTAACCAGGAAAGCAGATTCAAGGTCCTTGCCCTGTTGACTGATCTTGGCCCAGATATCCACAGGACTCCTCTCACCAGGTCAGGTCTCTGTTTAAATGTCATCTTCTGAGTGGATCCCTGCTAATGGCCCTATTTGAAACTGCAGCTCCCTGCTCCACAGTATTTGTGTCTTCCCCTCCATGTTCTCTTTTTTTCCAGAACACTCACCACCTTCCAACATACTATACCATCTACTGATTTATTTTACTGTCTTCTGCTAGTAAAACATAATCTCCTGAAGGCAGGAATTTTTGTCTCCTTTGTTCGCTGGGATACGCCCACCGCCTAGAACAGACCCTGACACATTATCAGTACTCAATAAATGTTTGTTGAATTAACTAACTGAATGAATAAAATGAAAACTAGAGAACAGATCGACTCATTGCCTACTTTCCTAAGAAATGAGAGTTCTATTAAACAGAATCCTAGAAGAGGTGTCGGCAAAGAGCAGCCCATTTCTAAACCCTAATTACTGCTGCCTGGTGACTGGAAGGTTCCCAGCAACTTGCTGAAGGTCTGAAGCCAACTAACTGGATATGAAAGAAAACCATTGACCTAACATAATAGGATTGCAAACTGATCATGACTAATTAATAGCTTAAATTTAATTTACTATGGTTACTTATGCTACTACTAATAATCACCATTTTAATTTGTTTGGACTTTTAGTTTTAATATTTAATTAATTAATTATTTCTATGTATTATAAGGTCCAATATTGCATTATATTTACAAGGAGCTAAGAAGCATCTATCTCTAAGTTGAGTACAATTTACTATAGTCGATAGAATGTAATTTATGTAAACCTGTGCGCAAGATACATTTAAAGTTATTTCCAAACCTAGATCAGGGTCTTGCTAATAATCTGACACCTGACATTTAAAACTACCTTAACAAGACTGTCAACATTTTTGATAATTTGATAATTTTTTTCAGCATGTGCAAACACACACATAAAAACTAAATTGCTATGATGAACATTTCAATTATTCTTGGAATGGCTGATTTCTAAAATCTAGCAGTTAACCTTTTACTCTAATCCTTCAAGGATTACTCACACTCGAGTCACAAGAGAAACGCACAGGTCATTGCTGGATTTCAGCTCTTCTCATGGAAGCTCACTTTTGTTCTTTAATTTTGCTGATTATAATTTATTTATATCCTTGGAATGGGATACAATCTCTATTTTTCAACTTAGTAACTATACTTGAAGAATATTCTTTTATTTTTCAATCCAAAAAGTTGGGAACAGAGGTAAAAAAGGGATTTTCATACTTTAAGAAGCCATGAAGCCCTACCCAGACCTTAGGAAATGCATAGCAGACAGTCAATAAATAAGAGCTGTTAATGTTGAATGATATTTAAGTAACAAAATTCGAGTGCTTAGAAGAAATTTGGAGATCTCATCTGACTACTTCTTAACAATTAATTATTACACTATATTTCAAAGTGACAGACTATAACCTTTCCTTTGCAATAGTAAAAAGAAAAATTGTGATTACTCAGTGTACATCAGCTGGGAACTGAACTTCTGATCTCTCACCCATATTCAAGCGATATTCTTTGAGAGTAAGTGAGGTGTCCATCATGTCACTACTCAGGTAACTACTGACAAAGGCTGACTAACGTCGACTGACTAAGCTGCTTTGTCTAATTCACTGTTTAGTTAGTGCCTCTTCCATGTGGATGCTTTCTGGTGGACATAAACATGTTATGCAAAGATCTTTACACTGTGCCTCTACCCAGACCTCCCCATCTCCAATCTCCCAGGCCTTTTCCTTCCAGGCTCATGACCAGCCAGCAGAGGCCCTTCACCACTTACGGTGAGTCCATATGTATTCTAGCCTCAGACCACTTCTCTTTCCACACAAACTGGATGGTCTGGTGCACTATCTGAAGCTCCCCATTAAGGTGGTTTTCTCTCACCACTGTGATTCAAGACCAAGCCGGAGTGAGGCTCTAATGCAACCACCATCCATTTCCACTTTGCACCCATATACCAGCCTGTTCTATCCTTAAACCAAGCTAAATTTTCTCCTCCTCCTTCAGCTAGTCCTATAGTACCCCAGGTGAGAGCTGAGACAGGAGTACTGGGGTAACCATGATGAGCAATATAGGAGTCCAGACTATCTCTTCATGTACTTGTTTGTGCTCTCTGCTCTTGCTCGTGCTTTGTTCTGGATGTACCATTTCATCTTATGTAGAACTACTGCTGATCCTGACCAACTTTATGACTTGGGGGTCCAAGAGGACCCAACTCATGATGGATAGTTCAAAAAGCATGGTCATTGGGTACCTCATGGTCAAGAGTCCCATCTCTATTAGGGCTCAGTACATTAGGAGCTGTTTTTTAAAAGATGTGTATTTTCTGCTATAGATACCATGACACTGCTCCAAAACCTCAGAGCCTGCATTGTGATTTTCCTAATGGGGCTTGCTCCACACTGCATCTTTTCCCACCATTGACATCTGGAATGTCATAGAGTCTGCCAGAGTGTAAGATCCAAGCAGAAGGGCTACCTGCATCAGAGGATGGACCTGTCACCAGGACAGACTTCAAGATATGACCTCTGCAGTTGTACAGAGCCTCACTCTCAGAAGGTCCCCACACTTGGCTTAATGCTTTGTTGTCATCATCTTGAAATTATCAGCAATTTTACCTTTGAACTTGTATTTCATAAGTGAAGTCCAATGGGGCGATGGAAGGTGTGCTTGAGCAGTGGAAAAAAGCTAGGACATGGGGTACAGCAGGCAGCAGCCAGACACCAAGCAACTGTCACATGTGCATGCCTCCAGGCAGTCCCGGGAAGCTCAGGGCCCCAGGTGGGCAGGTAGAGACCAGAGCCCAGGTTGGGGGCAGCAACAGTAGAAAAGCAGCAGTGGTGGCGAGCAGCAGTAGGAAAGCGAGATTTTCTACTTAAAACCAGCGCTGGGACCTGCCGTGGGGTCTAACTTGCCCATCTGTTCCACGAATGCCATCTTTGCCATGTTTGCCCAAATCTTTGAGATCTGGGACAGGAACTACCAGCTTTCCGGCAATACACTTTGTCAGTAAATTATTACAAAATAAAAGCACATGTATGGATATTGAAATAAAGCATATCAGAAAATTATTAGAATTCCTCGAAGAGTTGAGAGTCCCTGGTTTTGAAAACTTCTGCAATGTGGCAAATCAAATA